CAAAATATTCATTTACAATCTACAAAATAACAAATACAAAATACTCATTTACATACTACAATATAACAAATACAAAATATCGATTTACAAATAACAAATACAAAATATTTATTTACAAAATAACAAATACAAAATACTCATTTACAAATTACAAATACAAAATATTCAATCAATACCCCCCCTCCCCCCCCCCGCGAACCGGGCCTCTTCCAATCCAAGTTATGCAGCCGCCAACAGAAACTTAATAAAACAGTAGTCAGTTATACACGCGGGGTCTTGTGTGTCATAAAGTCGCTGAAGCTGAGAATTACATGGTACAAAGTCTTTAATTTTGACAAATGCGAAGGTGTTTGTTGTGGTTGCAGGACGCATTGTAATATCTTAGAAAATAATAAATGTTCAGAACAATAGAATCATCTGCTGATCCGTCTCCACCAAAAGCTTGACAAAATAACAAATCACAAATAACAAATAACAAATCATAATTACCATGGAGTCTAAAGCTGTGGTCAGTAACATGAGGAAGAATAGAACTGTCCATAATTGAGGAACTGGTAGAGTAGCCAGAGCTTCTGGGTAGGCTATAAACGCCAGTCCCGGGCCTAGAAAATATGATAAAGACGACCATGCAAAATTTACGTCCTATTTTTCTGCACAAGATAGACAATGCGACAATGCAGTGAGCAATGAGTAAACAGAAAGAAAGATAAAGAATAACACAGCGAAAGAGACAAAGTAAAAAAAAATACCTGTTCGTACTAAATCTGAAACATGTAAATTAGTAAGATATGACAGATGACCCAGAATAGAAAATACTGCAAATCCCGCATAAAAACTCGTTCCTTCTCCAACTACACAGTATATAATACTATCTCTGTAAAATACAATACACAGTATATAATACTATCTCTGTAACATACAATACACAGTATATAATACTATCTCTGTAAAATACAATACACAGTATATAATACTATCTCTGTAAAATACAATACACAGTATATGATACTATCTCTGTAAAATACAATACACAGTATATAATACTATCTCTGTAAAATACAATACACAGTTTATAATACTATCTCTGTAAAATACAATACACAGTTTATAATACTATCTCTGTAAAATACAATACACAGTTTATAATACTATCTCTGTAAAATATAATACACAGTTTATAATACTATCTCTGTAAAATACAATACACAGTATATAATACTATCTCTGTAAAATACAATACACAGTATATAATACTATCTCTGTAATATAATACTATCTCTGTAAAATATAATACACTGTATATAATACTATCTCTGTAAAATATCATACACAGTATATATTACTATCTCTGTAATATAATACACAGCATATAATACTATCTCTGTAAAATATAATACACAGTATATAATACTATCTCTGTAAAATATCATACACAGTATATAATACTATCTCTGTAAAATACAGTACACAGTATATAATACTATCTCTGTAAAATACAATACACAGTTTATAATACTATCTCTGTAAAATACAATACACAGTTTATAATACTATCTCTGTAAAATACAATACACAGTATATAATACTATCTCTGTAAAATACAATACACAGTTTATAATACTATCTCTGTAAAATACAATACACAGTTTATAATACTATCTCTGTAAAATATCATACACAGTATATAATACTATCTCTGTAAAATATCATACACAGTATATAATACTATCTCTGTAAAATACAATACACAGTATATATTACTATCTCTGTAAAATACTCATATAGAATCAGAAGAGCTGGACATTGTGATGGGGCATTCTCAATCTCAAGCTAACCAATCTCCCAGTTCAGTCTGCCCCGACCAGATTTACAGTCTAATCGAATAGAAAGAAATACTACCTTAAAATATTATTATTAAACTTATTATAGCTGGCCATTGTATGAAAACCTCCCCAGCCCATCCCTACTGAGAAAAACATTTGCATCATAGCTTGTAACCAGACCTGTAAAGAAATGGAAAAAATATTGTTGAAAGTACAATAACAAAATATTTTTATGTGGGAGGGTAATCTAGCAACAAATTATGCCAGATTCAGTGGGCGGAAGGTAATTGAAATCTCGAAATTTTGTGTTAATGCATTTCGCCACTAGATTATAAGCGTTGAAGTGGTCTGCAGCACAGTCGGTTAAAGCGTGGCGGCATTTGCATTGAGTCGACAAACAAATTGTGGGCGTGGATTCCTCTCTCGGTCGGCGAGTGAAAGTCTGGCGACCTTGAAAAAAATGTCCTCAATATGTGAGTAAACCTAGCTCTAATTGGGTATGGGTACGCCGGAAAAGATCCATGCCCAGATTGACAGTATCCTCATTAAACCTTAGTTATTATCCTTGTAATCCGAATGTAATAATTATCAGCAACTAAGCTCATACACTTTCTGATTCTTTGTGATTCCGATTTCGGAAATTGTTCAAAGTATACATCATCAGGAAAAGCATGCATAGGTGGAATTTTTTTCAGATTCAAGAGGATATGAAAATATAGAACTTGCCTGCAATTCTCCAAGTTTGCTAAAATCAGGAATAATATAGAAATATACCCCATCTATGGCACCAGGTAGAGTCAGAGCTCTGATTAATATTATAGTTATCAGTATATACGGCATGGTAGCCGTCACGTATACAACCTAGGTAAAAAATATAGACAATATGTAAACAACCAAGGGTTCAAAATTAAGACAATATGTAAACAACCTAGGGTACAAAATATAGACAATATGTACACAACCTAGGGTACAAAATATAGACAATATGTACACAACCTAGGGTACAAAATATAGATAATATGTAAACAACCCAGGGTACAAAATATAGACAATATGTATACAACCTAGGGTACAAAATATAGACAATATGTATACAACCTAGGGTACAAAATATAGACAATATATACACAACCTAGGGTACAAAATATAGACAATATGTTAACAACCCAGGGTACAAAATATAGACAATATGTAAACAACCTAGGGTACAAAATATTGGATACTTTATACATAACCTAGGGAACAAAATATAGGACACTTTATACACAACCTAGGGTACAAAATATAGACAATATGTTAAAAACCCAGGGTACAAAATATAGACAATATGTAAACAACCTAGGGTAAAAAATATTGGATACTTTATACATAACCTAGGGAACAAAATATAGGACACTTTATACACAACCTAGGGAACAAAATATAGACAATATGTAAACAACCTAGGGTACAAAATATAGACAATATGTATACAACCTAGGGTACAAAATATAGACAATATGTAAACAACCTAGGGTACAAAATATAGGACACTTTATACACAACCTAGGGTACAAAATATAGACAATATGTATACAACCTAGGGTACAAAATATAGGACACTTTATACACAACCTAGGGTACAAAATATAGGACACTTTATACACAACCTAGGGTACAAAATATAGACAATATGTAAACAACCTAGGGTACAAAATATAGACAATATGTAAACAACCTAGGGTACAAAATATTGGATACTTTATACACAACCTAGGGTACAAAATATAGACAATATGTACACAACCTAGGGTACAAAATATAGACAATATGTAAACAACCTAGGGTACAAAATATAGACAATATGTAAACAACCTAGGGTACAAAATATAGGATACTTTATACACAACCTAGGGTACAAAATATAGACAATATGTAAACAACCTCTAGGGTACAAAATTTAGGACACTTTATACACAACCTAGGGTACAAAATATAGACAATATGTAAACAACCTAGGGTACAAAATATAGACAATATGTAAACAACCTAGGGTACAAAATATAGGATACTTTATACACAACCTAGGGTACAAAATATAGACAATATGTAAACAACCTATAGGGTACAAAATTTAGGACACTTTATACACAACCTAGGGTACAAAATATAGACAATATGTAAACAACCTAGGGTACAAAATATAGACAATATGTACACAACCGAGGGTAGAAGATATAGACAAATATGTAAACAAACTTGGGTTCAAAATATAGGACACTTTATACACAACCTAGGGTAGAAAATATAGACAATATGTACACAACCTAGGGTAGAGGATAGATGGCAATACGTATACAACCAAGGGTACAAACTAGGTCCATTGTTGATTTGAGCTTGAAATTGCGTATCGAGTATAACCTGTTTGAACTGATTTACTCAACTTGTTAATAAACTACTTTACCTTGCCTACAGACTCCACTCCTTTAAACAAACAAATATAAATAAACAACCAGGCTAGAGCTAGAGCCAATACCAGATGCCACTGGATAGAGCCTATATCTTCAAAACCACTCGATATCCGTAATACGTTTAAACTGAAAGATAAATCAAGAATCTTTAAATGACCATGAGTACAATGTGGTAGAAAGCGACGATTCATTTGGAGATGTTACCCCAGCCGGGCTAGAGAATATGCCAATTTACCAGCTTGATGCGATAGTCTGATATAGTTTAATCTCATTCTGACCACAGAAACCACATAGACACGATAGTTTGGTATCTTCTAGTCCCATTCTGACCATAGAAAACTGTCTTTGTATCAAACAGTCTGCTAAAAGCAGTAGTTAGAAACGATAGATTGGTATGCAGTTATTTTAAGTGCAAAAAAGTGCTAGAGTACCAAGTAATCAGTGTAGCAAGCAATCTGCTGCATAAATGAACACGATAAAAACGTTTATATAATATTAATGGATGGTTGAGTCGGATCTATTCATTTCATTTTACTATTAATTAAGGTATTTCTTATGCTACGTATTTGTGAAACAAAATAAGGACAAATCAAATCATAGAATATAGAACTTACTTCCAGAATTCTTCAGTTGGAGCATGGTTTTTAGTTGTATTATAAGGGTCCACAGTGTTATTCATCATGATGTGTAACGTAGAAGCTGTTCTGTTGATGTTCTTCAGATAGTCAAACAACGTTACGTTGTTGGTGGTACTATTACCACTGATATCTTGAATAAAACAGGCGTCTGTGTTCCACCAGTTGTCACATCCAACCCACGGTAGAGGAGATTTGAAGGAGTTGAATAGATAATATAAGATCCAGGCGAGAATTGTGTTATAGTAAAGACAACAGATCACTGATATACCAGTCATAGCCAGTCCAATACCTATAATTATTTACAATTTGGCTTGAGTTATTGATGGCAGGATATGGCGTGTCAACTCTTTCCATTTCGTAGCCGTAGAGTACACGGTGTTGTAATCGTGTAAGTTATTGGTGGCAGGGATGCGGTGTGGGTATCATTCTACAATGTAGGCAAGGCTGCAATTCCCCAAAAATATGAAAACTTTGGCTTGAGTTATTGGTGGCAGGGTATTCCTTCCAGAGATGTGCTCTATGTACCACGGAACCAGGTCGACGAGGCTGCAATTCCCTAAACAATATAAAAACTTTGGCCCTAGTTTGTACCATATTTCCATATCCCTCGTTTTGTAGGGCTGTTACTCCTCAACCACTATACAATGGTTATTCTTTAATCTTGTGAAGACAGTTTTCCCCTCAGGCCTATAAAAGCTCATTTTTGAGGTGAATCCCTCTAAATTCTCAAAATTCATGAAATCCATTGGCTTCTGGGATCACCAGAACCAAACTGAATCATTAAACGGTACTATTCAGAACTCACCTCTAACGGCGGGGCAAATATCCCACACTCCAAATGCACTCTTTCCAGAATATTGTCCAAGGGATAATTCTAGAAATGTCAATGGAAACGCCACGAGTACCATGAATACTGCGTAGGGAATCAGGAACACAGCTGAAAAGGAAATAAAATGGAGTTTTACGTCCTATTTCTGTTTCTGATTGAGCTAATAAAGACTGAGCTAATAAAGACTGAGCTAATAAAGACTAGGCTAATAAAGACTGGACTAATAAAGACTGGACTAATAAAGACTGAGCTAATAAAGACTGAGCTAATAAAGACTGGACTAATAAAGACTGGACTAATAAAGACTGAGCTAATAAAGACTGAGCTAATAAAGACTAGACTAATAAAGACTGGGCTAATAAAGACTGAGCTAATAAAGACTGAACTAATAAAGACTGAGCTAATAAAGACTGAACTAATAAAGACTGAGCTAATAAAGACTGGACTAATAAAGACTGAGCTAATAAAGACTGGACTAATAAAGACTGAGCTAATAAAGATTAGGCTAATAAAGACTGGGCTAATAAAGACTGAGCTAATAAAGACTAGACTAATAAAGACTGGGCTAATAAAGACTGAGCTAATAAAGACTGAACTAATAAAGACTGAGCTAATAAAGACTGGACTAATGAAGACTGAGCTAATAAAGACTAGGCTAATAAAGACTGGGCTAATGAAGACTCGGCTAATGAAGACTGGGATAATAAAGACTGGGCTAATGAAAATTGAACTAGTGAAGACTGAGCTAATAAAGACTGCGCTAGTGAGGACTGAGCTAATGAAGACAGGTCTAATGAAGACTGGGCTAATAAAGACTGGGCTAATGAAGACGGGGCTAATAAAGACTGGGCTAATTAAGACAGGGCTAATAAAGACTGGGATAATAAAGACTGAGCTAATAAAGACTGGGCTAATGAAGGCTGGGCTAATAAAGACTAGGCTAATGAAGACTGGGATAATAAAGACTGAGCTAATAAAGACTGGGCTAATGAAGACTGGGCTAATAAAGACTAGGCTAATGAAGATTGAGCTAATAAAGACTGAGCTAATAAAGACTAAGCTAATAAAGACTAAGCTAGTGAAGACTGAGCTAATGAAGACAGGTCTAATGAAGACTGGGCTAATAAAGACTGAGCTAATGAAGACTGGGCTAATGAAGACTAGGCTAATGAAGACTGAGCTAATAAAGACTAGGTTAATAGACACTAGGCTAATAAAGACTGAGCTAATGCAGATTGGGCTAATAAAGGCTGAGCTAGTGAAGGCTGGGCTTATAAAGATTGAGCTAGTGAAGACTGGGCTAATAAAGACTGAGCTAATGAAGACTAGGCTAATAAAGACTGGGATAATAAAGACTGAGCTAATAAAGACTAGGCTAATAAAGACTAGGCTAATGAAGACTGAGCTAATAAAGACTGGGCTAATGAAGACTGGTCTAATGAAGACTGGGCTAATAAAGACTAGGCTAATGAAGACTAGGCTAATAAAGACTAGGCTAATGAAGACTAGGCTAATGAAGATTGAGCTAATAAAGACTGAGCTAATAAAGACTAAGCTAATAAAGACTGCGCTAGTGAAGACTGAGCTAATGAAGACAGGTCTAATGAAGACTGGGCTAATAAAGACTGAGCTAATGAAGACTGGGCTAATAAAAACCGAGCAAATGAAGACTAGGCTAATGAAGACTGAGCTAATAAAGACTAGGTTAATAGACACTAGGCTAATAAAGACTGAGCTAATGCAGATTGGGCTAATAAAGACTAGGCTAATAAAGACTGGGCTAATAAAGACTAGGTTAATAGAGACTAGGCTAATGAAGACTGGGCTAATAAAGACTGGGCTAATGAAGACTGAGCTAATGAAGACTGAGTTAGTGAAGACTAGGCTAATAAAGACTGAGCTAATGAAGACTGGGTTAGTGAAGACTGGGCTAATAAAGACTGAGCTAATGAAGACTGGGTTAGTGAAGACTGGGCTAATAAAGACTGAGCTAATGAAGACTGGGTTAGTGAAGACTGAGCTAATAAAGACTGAGCCAATGAAGACTGAGCTAGTGATGACTGGGCTTATAAAGACTGAGCTAATGAAGACTGGTCTAATGAAGACAGGTAAGTACATACATTGCTCAGTGATGAAGCCTTTGCCAGAAAAAATTGCATTGGACTTTTTTTTATTTCAAACTGTACAGATCTTGGGATTGCTTTATGGGTTTTGGCTTTGAACCAAATTGTTACTGAGAAAGTGATTTGGTGCGGTAGTGAAGGTAGTAAGTCTATCTTTAAACAAAATGTTGAAATGTGTTTCTTTCAGTATTTTACTCGTGGTAATGTTTTGAAAGGCGACATCAAAATAAATCGAGAGGAATGTAATCGTGCTATATATGTAAAATTGAAATGCTGATATTACTGTCCTGGTGATGGGGTTTACATCCGCAACAAATGTTGTGGTAAGATAATGTAATCTAATGGTTTACGTTTTTGTATTTTTATAACACTTTGTACCAACTGTTATTATTCTCGAGTATTGTAGTTTGTAATCCGCCAGCCCGCCCCTCCACACACACACCTAGAATTATTTAAAACTTCATACCTCCTCCATTTTTAGCACATAAATAAGGAAATCTCCAAATATTCCCTAATCCAACACCATAACCAATTAACGATAAAATAAAATCACACTTCCCTTTCCATTGCATTCGTTTTGGGGTTTCCATATTTAATCCATACACCTCAGCGAGGAATGTTTTTACTGTCACTGAAGTAAAAATGTTCAAAATCAATTTTATTCATATTCATAGTGGGGACCTTCAGATTGACGTATACATTTCAATTTAAATAAAGTACAGGTTCACGGTTGGTTTTGTTTTGTCTATCGTTAGAATTTGTATCGTGATACTGGACATTACCTGTGTAATTTGTTGAAACGTTATGTACATTGTTTGAATGAAGTGCGTTATACCATAATAAATTACTCTGTATTTGTTGTTATATATTGGATGTTTTTTGCCTCTGAAGGTATACATCATTAGATCCTAATATTGTAATGGATTGATGGTTTAACGAAATAAAGCTGTATTTTAGTCTGATTGAAATGAATATGTAGATTGCATTTTCACAATGTCAATATAAGGAACTTCGTACTTATACATTGACTTCAATAGTCACTATTTGTGTAACACGGAATGCAGCGATTTGATTGGGTTGTAAGCCTGTGAATACAGTCAATCAGAGACCACGACAGACACGCTGTAAATATAATGGCTTATGGTTTACAGACTTTCTGTCGATGCCTCTGATTGGATGTATTCTTAGTATTGTATTAAAATATAGTCTATTATTATCATATTCATATCAAGGTCAAGGTCAAGGTCTTATTTAGAAGTGAAAAATAAGCCCTTTTGATGCTGAAATCTGTTGGCTTCTACCAGTCCCAAGGGGCTGTCTCGGAGCCACCTGTCAACGAGGAAAATTGATGTCTCTGTGTCTATTTTAAATGGGAAACATAAAATATCAGGTAAATTGAGAACAATTGTGTTTAAGATATCGGTTTCTAAAATGTATCAAATTACAGTTTCTCTTTGTTCAAATTATATTGCTTTCAAACATCAAGATCGTATGTTATTTACTAATTTCACACTTGATAAACTCGCCTGACATAGATTAGGGTGATCCCTAGGGGTCCGAGGGGAGGGGAAGCAGGGGTCATATATCCACGACCTCGGTCTCATTGTCAAGTGTCAACTAGTAAACATATCATTTAATTTTGACAGAGAATTTGGTACTTGTATTTTTATTGAGTAGATTTTAAGGGATATACAAACGATTTAAATTTAAGAGGTTCTAAACCTATTTTTCTGTCTTTAATGCCTAGTACTTAACCTTTTTCATTTTAAGCATATTGTCTGTTAAAATCGTTTCTTGACTCTTGCTTCGTTCAAAATAAACCACATTCCAATGCCTGCATACCCTCATCCGACCGAAACATTCTGGTGACAAATTATCAAACTAACCTTAACTGAATCCAACACTTGTTCTAAAGAGTTCCCTACTGTAACCTAGTTCACGTTCCCTGTTGGTAAGAGAATAATACAATTCTTATAACCCTCGACCAACGCTTTCAATCCCAGACCAACGTTCCTCTCGTACTGGTCAGTCTCGTTCGTAAAGAGTTCCCTACCAATAGGGTAAAACTAACCTGTCTCACGACGGTCTTAACCCAGCTCACGTTCCCTGTTGGTGGGTGATCAAGTTAATTCTTCAACCAAACGACTTATCTTGTCTGGCGTATTCGCTCGTCCCTAAATTATATCCATTATGTTCGGGATTAAACTGGTATGTGTCCTTTCACGTTCGAGTTGTCAAGGTGCATTCAGTATACAGTAAGCTGGATATAAAACTTTACCATCACCCACTATCACTATTTCCTTTAACCTCTTTTTATTGTTGGTGAGTATCAAATACTGGCTTTAACCCCGAGAGGGATGATACATTCCGTAGTCAATGACGGGGCCGAAGGTGGACAGAGGGGTAGTCGATGTAAAAGGGTGTATGTGGTGAGTGGGGCTTTGGTAAATAATTAAGCAATCGATGATATCCTATGTGGGTTTTTATGATAGCGTGAAAGCACGAGCGTTGGTTGAGCCTAATTTAGGGGATAATGTAGGTGTGAGTTTAAACTTTAATTGTTCGAATCCATACACGACTGGTAATCTTTATGGTGTGAAGGCACCTTTAGATACAATAATTCAAGTTTTTTAAAGTTTTTATTAAACATGCTATAAAATAAAAAAGTATGAAGTCAAATGGATGGGAAACAAAGGTGAAAGCAATAAAATACCTAGTCCGAAACATCTGCCTCTATTACAGTCTCTGATAGATATTTTGACACTTATCGACAACTGTCAAAATATCTATCAGAGGCTGGAATAGTGGCAGATAGATGATAAATAGTCTGATAGCATTGGTGTAGGAAAATATATATAATTTACATTGAATCTTCTTTAATGTTGTAATGGATTGTATAGTTTAGTATTTTTCCTGGTTTTATATTATTTCAATATATTCTTGGGATTTGTATTGATCTTGTTCAAGGAATGTTACATTTTAGTTATCTTTTGCTACCTTTGTTTATCCTGGTTACTAGGATGGCAGCCATGTTGTATTTTGCAAGTTTCATATCTTATAGTATCTTTCATGGCTTATAGATTACATTACATATATATTCTCTTTCATTATTACAATTAACTATTCCTACTAAATTACATACAATGCACTCCCAACTCTATTAAACATCTTATTTTCAGATCCTACACATACACTACAGTTAGGTATTTTCCCTCCCATTGGTTTATTAGTTTAAAACCCCTGTACAGGGTAGGTTAAGTTATTAGTATATATTCATATTGTTTTGCATTTATTAGATACTTATTAAATGAAATGAATGGAGTCTACTTTTCTGCACCATGTGGGCTAATGAAGACGGAGATACTTATTAAGATTGTCCTTAAAGATTGTAACTATGCAAAATGGTGACTTTGCTTTTCATATTTATTAGTATTAGGCTGTATTGAATTATTTCATAGCTGGTGTTAGTTTTTATTCTTTAATAGAAATTAAGATCATTCCATCTTAATGTATATATTTTTTTGCCTGTTAGTAATCGTAATCTTCAACATCTAGTCCATCGAACCCTCGGTGTGGTTATTTCTACCCTTAATCCTCAACCGACAACACCAAGAGTCCAATATTTGGAGTACATTATTAATGTCAATATTGGACTCATTGCCATTTGCTAGTACGATTATGTTGGATAATGGTACGCCAAGATCAATGTTTGCGATGTCATCATCCACTGGAAGCGAACGTTAGCTTGTCATCTTCCTACCTACCATTCTCTTGCCATTACATCTGATGACGACACGTGTATATTGTGTTGAAACGTTATGTGCCTAACCTTATTAAAGAAGTGTGTTATATTTCATAATATTCCTAGACTGGTGTTCTTTAACACATTAATTTATTAAATAGCAAGTTAGTTTTCGGTAAAGGGAAGGTCGATCAATTATTCCACACCCATTTCTCTTTGTCGACCCCATTTACTGTTGGGTTGAAATGACTTTCGAATTCTCTGAAAATATAAAATTAAACCATTAAAAGATTAAATCATCTTCTGCTAATCTCTGGGGTGCTGGGGTGGGCGTTGGCTATAAGCAGTAGATGGGGTGTTAATTATTTTCAAACACTGTTAGTATAACTCTGCCGTCACAAAAGTGTTTTTGACAAGCAAACTGTACCGGAAAGAACGAGCTAATATCAGAGGTTTGTTTATGTAAGAGCGGACACACTAATGGTAAAAGAACCAGTTACATCATAGCTTGGACAGTGTTCAAGATATTCCGTATTGTAGTGAGGTTTTGTATCGAAGACACTGATGCACCGTTCCAATTAAGTCAAACGTCGGCGAGTCTTGAAATTCCACTAAACGTTTTATGACGATCCATCGCAAAACCTGCAAACAATATTTAAGGACCTTGGTTGGTTGGTAGATTACAAGTTAACGTCCGCTTCCAGCGAATGCTGATATCGCAAACTAGGTAGTCGTGGTAGATTGGTTCCAATTGGATGATGCTGTGTTGTTGGTTTGGTTGTTGGTAATTCGTTAGATCTGATCGGGTTTTAAGGACCTTTGTGATAATCCCTTTAAGTAGTGTATTGTTTGATTTGTTACCTGGACAAGTGTGCCTTCATGGTTGAGAAGTTCTTTGATTATCCAGACCGGTATTGGTATAGATGTAACCAGGGCTATACTCCACCCTATATAACCAGTAAACCATGGGTAGGTGTAATCACCGTAGGTCGGCGGCTTAAACCCAATTAGTGTAAAAATAAATATAGTCTGAAATGAAAACAATGATTTTTAAAAGGGCCACGTTGACCATTCGCGATCAATCTGACCTTAATCTCAGAAATACAGATTTAAATGGAGGTGTAAGAGGATTAAACATGTGATTATAATCAATTTTGTTCAAGGTTATGTTCCATCTTGCGGTCTTAGCTTCAGAATACGATCCTGTTAAGTTCGTGGTTTTAAAGATTGATCTAAAAAGCCCCACCCCCAGCGTAGCTGTTTTCTTTGGGTTATATCCGCACTGACCCTCGTTGCCCCCCTCGTGGTTTAAATGGCCCCCAGATTCATCATCCTAATCCTTACCACTAAAATAATCGGAGTTACAAACCGCCATAAAATGTTCATAACTACAGATGGTCTTCTCCCCGTCATTAACTCAATATCACCAAAAAACCTCTCTACACCTAAAATACAATATAACAATTATAAAATATTTTTAATGTTAAATAGAAGTATTAAAACATCACTTGAATCATGTTGTTACTCAGAGATTCACACCAGACAACTAACCTATTTTCAGCCTGCTTTCCTACTGAATTTGCTCAAATTCAAAGCTTCTCTTGTCCAGTAGACAAGGGAGGAGCATGTGCTATATCCGTCAAAATATGCCTAGTTTTAGTGGGATTGCAAAACCACAGACTGAAAATTGTAATGGTATAAATTTAAGCTATCAGTGTTCTCAATTCACACTGAGGGATGCCAATATATTGGACGACTGTTTCCTAAGACTCACCATAAATCCATGCTACAACGATACATTCTAAAAATGTTATGATGAAAACTGATATAGAGGCCATATACCAGTCTACTAGTTGAAACATATAAATACCACCCTGGAATAGATATAAAACGATATGTAAAATAAAATTCAATGAACCTTAAAATAATGTCTATATACTAAATTAATTGAATCCTTTTATGAAATTCATGTACTTAAAACTTGTATAAAACAAGTCCAGTTTTCAAAATCTTTTCACCATACCTTTCAGTTTAACTTTGGCCTTAATTTAAAACAGATATCTCAAAATAAACTAAGCAATTCGGCGCATATTCCACTTCTCCCAATATTCAGTAGACCCAGCTGTAAATTGGTACGGATAATCCTTGAAAGAGCAATACCAAGTATCAGCTGGTAGAAAGTAAACCCGAGTTGTTATCCTTGTGAAATCTGGTTATTTGTTTCTTTCTATCTTTGAGACATAAACCGCGTTTACACTGCCATAAAAATTGTCCCACTTGAAGTGAACCGTACTCGATCCGGACTCAGCCCGGATAATTTGTGGCAGGTTAAACGTGGCTATAAGATTAATAAAATATTTTTACCTGTGTAGTATATAGAATATTTCCTAGAAACATCAAACAGCAAACAATAGCTGTTACCAATATTCTAGTTTTAGTGGTTGCTGTTGGTATGACATCTATTATAGCTGTTAAAATTATCTCCAAACTGACAAACTGCAGGAAAGATAGGGAAGGAAATGCAATGTGATTTGAAAAACATGAAGTTGTTCATCATGGAAATTTAAAAGATTTTACTACCTAGCTTGCGAAAGTGGCATGTGGACATAAAATCTATGAGTGATCAAGGTTATCTCTTGAATGCGAATCCTTAATAATGTTCTGACGACAGTTAAAGATGGGTTTCCTTATTTTTTAATGTTAATTTAAGAAAACAATTTGATAAATTGGTGTTTCTAATGAATTGTCATGCATTCTTAATCATATCATTTTGTTCTTATTGCATATAATTAAACGTTTTAACCAATCATAAATGTCTATGTATGTACGGTTTGGATAAACAAAAAAAAACTTTTTGACCTTTCTGGATCGGTCACTCATTGGAATTCCGCTGGTAATTCTCTTCAAATTTAGCTAATTATGAATTAATTATGGACATGTGAGACAAACTGGTACTTTTCCAAGTCATTAGAACACCTCTGCCTTCTATTCATATAAGTATTAGCATTTTCATTTTCATAAATGAAAATAAGGGAACCCATTAAAGTTTGCCTTGTTTCTTCGACAGGCAACATTGTTTTCTTGCTGATTGTGATAACAACTTGACCAAGTCCTGTTTTAACTGAAAGACCCACACCTACTGGAAACAGCCATGATTATTCAAACTCTCCAGCCCAGTGTCTCATACATGTATATCAATTTACTTATTTATACCATTAAAATGTTGTTTTAGACATCTATAAATTTATCTTAAGAGATGGGATTGGCTCTTGAACGCTGGAGGTCATTATATAGCATCCGGGATTCCCGGTGTCCGAGCCAGTACACCTAACCGAGTTATAACAGTAATAAATGGTATTCCAATAAAACCAACCAGGCATGGTAAATGTACACTTACCAAAGAATCGAGGACAACTAAAAGCAACATTAAGAAAAATAGAACGGACCATAATTGAGGGAGGGGCATCTGACTTAAAGCTTCTGGGTAGGTAACAAATGCAAGCCCGGGACCTGAAAAATTAAATATTTTATATTGTTGGTTGTGAACCATTATCATTAGTATTAAAAGTGCAAGCAGTAAGAGTACAAAAAGTTGAACTTGATTTAATTCATTTCGGTTAAGAAAATTCATATCAAGTGATCTCTACATTTTGTGATTTTTAACTAACTAAAACTGTATTTAGGTTGGTCAATTCAGCACCCCTTTCAGAGACTCCACTTAGCTAAAATGTTTATTGGGTATTTAGGTTTGTAAACTCAGTATCACTTTCAGATAGTCCACATAGCACATACCACTGTTTATATGATACACGAGTTTGTTAAATCAACATCCCTTCATACATTACTAGCTATGACAAAGCATCCACTCAAGCGAGTCAAGCGTACCTGCCGCGGCGACCTCATCAACCGGTTTATCAGTATTTACCGACATAAAACCCATTACTGAGAAAACAACAAAACCTGCATAGAAACTGGTACCTTCTCCTACTATACAGAATAATACAGTGTTCCTGGAACAAAGGAATAAGGACGTAAAACTCCATTCTGAAACAAGGGGAGACAGCCACAATCTTAATACATCACTCTACCAGACACGAAGATCACCGATATAACGCATCATTAGTTCCAAAAATCGGGAGAAGACATACACAATCGTTAAAAATCTGTCAGATATCGATTGCAATACTTGATTTCCAATTATATTGCGAATCTTCGGTTAAACATTACAAAAAAGACAGAGCTTGGGTCATCCATGCGAATCTGAGAAAAGACCAATTTTCAACGACGAATTGAAATTCTGGCATCAGGGCGAATTCGTTCAACACCTTGATTTATGCGACCTTCGCCGTCAAAATCTTCCATTACCCAGTCAATCGTGAGATTATTATCAACTGAGGTGAGGTGAGGTGAGTGGGGTGAGTGAGTAAAATGTATACCAACCTATAAACATTGCTATCAAATCTATTATAACTAGCTAGTGTAATAAATGCACCCCATCCAATACCCATAGAATAAAATATCTGTAGTAAGGCTTGAACCCACACCTACAAAACAAATCATACACTAGGTAGACCAATATTACAGCCTCTTTCGCCACTGTTATCAAGTAAGCGTTCCTCTGTGATAGGCTTTCATTAGTTAAAAATAACGTCAGAACGATAATGTGGAAAATAGCTCGTTGGATTACAGTGGAGACGAAAACGATCAGAAACCTAACAATTGTAATCTCATTTTAACTAAATTGAACCCACTGGCCCGCTGTTCCATCCTACGACTGTAAATTTGGCAGAATTTAACTCTCCTTTCACCTAAATATAATAGACAGCATACATCCAGTGCGTCCTAAAGTCGAGCCGGTGTCGGCTTTCAGCCCCTTTGACCAACCTTTAATAAACAACGTACCTGTATATCAGCTAGTTTAGAGAAATCCGGTATAATATAATATTCTATTCCTATTATAGCCCCAGGTAGAGTTACAGCCCGGATCATGATGATAGTTATAAGAATAAACGGTCCAATCGCTGTCACATATACTACCTGAAAATAAAATTTCAATACTTGGATGAAGCTAAAAACGGACTGAGAACTCCGGATTTTATTTAAATTAAGGATCTTGCAACATGAAATAGTTCGCCTTAGTTAACGACCCTGTCTATTACGACCTTGTCTATTATTAATCAAACTGTATGATCATCTTTCGATTCTCTGAAAATTGAGGTAAAGCTACATTCCCGACTGCTGGACCTGCATCTCACCAAACAAGTATACCAATGTATCACACTGGCTCATTAGATAACTCACATGTACAGTCGTAGCTTCTTTCTTACCTTGCCAACAGTCTTAATGCCTTTTATAATACAGCAGAATATGAGAATCCAGCCCACTGCTAGAGTTACCACTAGATGCCACTGGACTGTTCCGACCTCCTCTAAACCGGAAGACATTTTCAGTAAATTGTTACTATAAATAGACATACAGGAACTCAGATGAACACATCTTGAATGGAGTATGTAATCAAAATCAAAAATAAATTTTCTCTAAAAGATGACTCCGGTCGACCATAACTGAAACAATTGCATCTTCTATTGCTCGGTGCCTTATCTAGATCGTTTAGGACCTTAGAGAAAGTTTTGAGACACCCATTTAAACAGGATAACAACTTCTTGTCGACGGTTTGAGCAGAAAACATAAATGCATGTCAAGGTGGCAGTAACCTCACTGATAACCTAATTTGATTTTTTGCCAACAATCGTGGAAAACTGCAATTGTTTCTTCAAGACCCGCCGGTCCGTCGCCTCCATGTAAACATCCGTCGCCCGTCGAGGCTACCGTACATTTCAAAGAATGTAAACAAAAATTATAGAAAACCTAGACACGAATCATTCAATATTCTTACCAATAGACAATCCCTTGAAGTTTCCGTAAAGCTGAATTGCAGAAAGCTAGTGGAACCTTCACGTATTTCGTTTATATTCTTACCTCCAAAATTCTTCAGAAGCCGTGTAGGTTGTGTTGTCAGCTAAAACCCTATTTGTACTATTGACTGTATACCCCAGTCCACTGAGAGTCGAGTTGGTATCAGTGGAATTAGTTGTGTTCACGGTAATTCTGTGACTGACGATACAATGTTCTGTATTCCACGAGTTATCACAATTAGTCCAGGGTAGAGGCGTGAGAAAAGAATGGTATAAATAATACAGGATCCATGACAATATCATAGTGTGGTACATTCCAAATATAGCCGATATTCCATTCATTGCTATACCCATTCCTATAAACACAGAGCAGAATCATCAGGAATCGATTCCATTATAGAAGTACCGACTAATCTGGACCTACTCGTTCTTCGGACGTGATATACGGATTGGATACGGATTATCGAAATCCCATCCATATATCATGTCCATGGAATCGTTAGAGCCAGGCTAGTTGGGCTAAAACAAGAAAGAAAGTTTTAAGAAATACAACCAAATACACTGAAGAAGAATATGTTTCCTTTGACATTTAGGTTTTAATGATTCTGTTCATCAAAGGGTAATGCACCAGGGTAATGCACCAGGGTAGCTTACGTAAAATGCAACACTGCCCTACTGTAGCTACGGAACCTGACTTAACCTACCTTTTAAAGCCGGGCAGATATTCCAGACGTCATAAGCACTTTTACCAGAATACTGTCCTAGAGATAGTTCCAGTAACGTCAAGGGGTAACCAAATAATAACATAAATATAGCAAATGGGATCAGGAATACCGCTGTAAAGAAGATAGCTTGCCAGGCAAGGTAATATACGCCCACGGGCAGCTTTGATTTTAAATAAAAATATTTAGCAGTACAGTAAAAATTACAAGTATGAAATATTCAACCTTCAGTAATATTTTTCGCTTTTTCTGATTTTCGTTAGGTTTCATCTTTGGGTGATTACATACACTCACAAGTTTCGTCAAAATCCTCCAAGAATTGTGCCTTCTAGAGTGTTTACGTGCTACAAATTGACGCAGTTTCAAGAACAAGGGCAATAACTCATACTAATTATTTTTAAATTTTTCTGATTTTCAATAGGGTTCGTCCCTAGGTGACAACAAACACTCATACCAAGTTTCGTTAAAATCCTTCAATAATTATGCCTTCTAGAGTGTTTACGTGCTACAAATTGACGCAGTTTCAAGAACAAGGGCAATAACTCATACTAATTATTTTTCAATTTTTCTGATTTTCAATAGGGTTCGTCCCTAGGTGACAACAAACACTCATACCAAGTTTCGTTAAAATCCTTCAAGAATTATGCCTTCTAGAGTGTTTACGTGCTACAAATTGACGCAGTTTCAAGAACAAGGGCAATAACTCGTACTAATTATTTTTCAATTTTTCTGATTTTCAATAAGGTTCGTCCCTAGGTGATAACCAACACTCATACCAAGTTTCGTCAAAATCTGTCAATCATTGAACCTTCTAATGCGTTTACAAGCTAAAAATTGAACGCGTTTTCAAGAACAAGGGCAATAACTCATACTGATTATTTTTCGATCTCTCTGATTTTAAATAGGGTTCATCCTTGGGAGATAACAAAACTCACGCCAAGTTTCATCAAAATCAGTCCAGAATTGCACCTTCTAGAGTGTTTACAAGCTAAAATTGAACGCGTTTTCAAGAACAAGGGCAATAACTCATAAATCAACGGACGGACGGTGACGACAATATACGCCCCGCCCCCTCCCCCATTTCATGTGGGCGTATCAAAAGGATGAGTCATCAAGAGCATGTTTGAATCACGACGAGTGAAAACAGAGGTTAAATACAGCTGAACAATCAGCTAAATGCCATGGTAAATTCTGGTTTACAAACTTGTCAGTTGTTGTTTGGTACGCAGAAAGTGGAATAGTTAGATACGTACAAAGTGTTAAAAGGCTAATGTCACTAGCCGAACGTCGTGGGTCGGCATGTTAAAGTTTTGTGACCTTCTGTCATCTTTCCTCGTTTTTCCAGTCAACCCAGCCGTAAATGGGCATGGATAACTCGGTAAAGATCAATGCCGAGAAGTTTGGGCAAGGATAAGTCGGTAGAAAGGATCCTCACGAATCTTAAGTGTTAACCTTATTCGTTCTTTCCCCGACGAATTTGAAAACCATATGACTAGATAAAATCTACACCTACCTCCGCCATTTTTAGCACAAAGATACGGAAATCTCCAGATATTGGCTGGACCGATTGTATATCCCAGGAACGACAAGACAAAATCACAATTCTTCGACCAGTGTGATCGTTTCGCTGCATTGGAAGTACTCTCGGGATATTTAACTACTATTTCCTTGTGGTTAGGGCTGAGTTGCACTAATTTGACCTCTTCCATGGTTTCAAGAGACTGTTGTATTCAGTCTGTACTGAAATAGAACAATATAGGTTCATGGTGCAACAAAGCGCCCGACTCATCGGCCATGCCAATCACAGGCATTTCTACAGGGATGGGTGTTGGGGGAAGAAAGCCATGCCAGAAGAAAACAGACGGGTTCGCTTTTGGCCACCTACTTTTAAATTCTTTATCATTGTACAAAGTGAAAATATTTCCCGTGACCGGCCTCATCATCTAATGTTTCCTCGAAACGTCACTGTTAATTTCGCATGTAAAACAGACACCGACGCAAAATTTCACAAATATATTGAATATATTTTAATTATTACCTTAAAGAGAATATTGTCCTCTACTACTACTAGTTGACATATAAACCCCGTAAGGAAATTGTCGTCTGAACTAGACCATAATGTTTTCATTTATATAATCTACAACAATACTCTGGCTGTCATAATATAATTCCCTATTGGGATATTCTCACAAGAATGACAAGTAATTAATTCGTTTAAACGAAAAGTTTTTTCGTTAAAACGAAATATATGATATTATTTCGTTTAAACAAATTAATTATTTCGTTAAAACGAAATATTTTATAAAAGTATGAAAAAATTGCGCCTTAGGGGCTCCGTACATATGTACCTACGTACTTTTGTGTAACTATATTGTAAATAATATCGTTTATAAGTGAATCAACCTCGGCAATAAAGGGTGTCTAGAGCCCTGGTTCCCAACCTGAGGTGTTTTCAACCCTTGAGGGTTTGGGTCTAGAGTGTCAGGGGTGTGGCCAACTGGTGTAGGAGAAGAATTTGTTTTGAATTGAGAGAGCACCTCACATCATCACACGCTGCAAATGTGGATGAAAATTTGGGGGTGTGAAAGGTCCTGGTGATTGCTCCAGGGGTGTGAAGGCTGAGAAAGGTTGGGAACCACTGTAGGGCATCGCACCTGTTTTAGCATGACTTTGTGACCTAGGCCAGTGCTTTTATGAAACTATGATCATCACCATCTTACACTGGTTTCTCAGTTATTTGTAACACTGAATAGATTTAGAGCCTTTGAGGGATAATACTGGCAATAACTTGTTTATTTAAAGATGGGTTCCCTTATTGTTTTGATGAAAATACTTATATGAATAAAAAGTAGTGGTGTTCTAATGACTTGTTTGTCTCACATGTCCATAAGTAATTCATAATTAGCTAAATTAAAAGAGAATTACCAGCAGAATTCCAATTAGTGACCGATCAAGAAAGGTCAAAAAGTCCCCTTTTTTGTTTATCCAGACATAGACATCAATGATTGGTTAAAACTCTTAATTATATGCAATAAGAACATAATGGGTCATTTAGAGCAGTGAGGATGATTATAATTCTAGAATGATTGATGAAAAATGCCCAAATTCTGTGTCCATCAGTGCTCTAGATTATTCAAAAGATGTTAGAACCGGTAAAATGACGCTTAAAACCACATGTGTTAAAGTGACTGATACACCATTAGTGTCTTGCTTAAAAATAGGTGTAGGGTCAAAAGTTATGTTAGTAATTAATTTAAATGTTTCTACTGGCTTGATAAATGGAAGTTTTGGTCAAGTAACATTCATTCAAACTGATCAGAATAATCAAACTGACAAAATTTTTGTAAAATTTGATAATGCTAAAGTTGAAATAAATGAAGACAGTGTTCCACTTCCGCCAAATGTACCACGTGGTAGTATTGTTATTGAGAGATATAAAAGCCCTCATGTTAACTATAATTGCGTTAAGCAGAGTTAAAACAGTACAGGGCCTTACAATACAAGATTTTACGGAAAAAAACATATATTGTGATGAAAAAATTGAATCGGCATAAGGAGCAATGGATACTTTTTTAAAACCCGAAAACGAGACCATATCAACTGATACTAATATAATTTTACACATTGTTCAGGGTTTATCTATTCATATAGAGGATTTACAGAAACACTGGAAAATGCTAGAAAGTGATATCATTTGTTTACCAGAAACATGGCTAAATAATTCAATAACTCCAGCAAAACTAAAGTTAAATGGTTTCCGTCTTCACCACCATCCTCGAAGCAGCAGCTATGATGACACAGCTCTAGTTTTTTTTTTCTTTTTTTTTCTTTTTTTTTTGGGAACGTCCCTAGACAAAATCGAAAATGGTATAGCATAATTGTCTTCACCAAACATTTTTAAATGACCTGGAATCAAAAATGAATATCTAAATCTCAATTTTTGCTAAACCGGAAGTGTGCCATTGCATAATGTGCAAATATTTTGCATCAAGTCTGTAGGGCTTATTTATGAACCGATTTACCTGAAATTTTCTTTAATATGTTCATTGTCATAAGACGTATCTGGTGAGGCTAAAAAAAATTCAATTTTTAAATATTTTTTGTCAAAAAAAATTTGAATTCAAAATTTTCAAAAAAGCTAAAAATTTCTAACTCAGCCGCTAACTATCCGATTGATCTGAAATTCACAGGACATATACAGAATGTCCATACAAATAAATTTATACAATCAAAATATTTCTATCACTCCCGGTTTTTGCGTGAGAACTTCCGGTTTTTTCAAATCACGCCTGGCACCCCCACTTCCGGTGTAAATTTCAGATGTTGGTAAAAAACATATATATTGTCTGTCAGTCATAATTAGAATGCACTTAGCAGAAAAAATCCAAAGTGATGCATAAGCCGTGGCCTCGGCCTGACCCATTTTAGCAAAAAATTATTTAGTCCTCCATTTTTTATCCGATTTTTATGATTTTGGTGTCTATTAAAACCTTGTAACCTGGTCTACAGTTTGTTGGAACAGAATTTTGAATTTCGAATATGAATTTTTTTTATATTCGTCTGAATTTTTTGAAAATTCAAAAGGCTACACCATGTGACCTTAACCTTCAATGACCTTGAAAATTTCACTGTAGGATGTACTTGACCTCAGCTATCCACAGGTCTATCATATTGGTTGACAAATAGCCATTCAAAAATTAACATTTTGACAACTTTGGACGGCTGTATGACCTTTTCTAATAAACACAGAAAATTTTTTCAAATTTATAATTCCCTTTTGATTATCTTTTCAATGATATATGACAATACTCCATTAAAATATGTTTTAAAAATATTGGGGGTTCTAACTTACAATGTAATTAACTCCTAGCAATATGGTTTGTATATTCAGGATCTACTCAATTTTCTCTTTTCAACGATATGTGACATGGGTGGTTTAATACAAAATTTAATTTGTGAAAATAGGCATAAAAGTGTTAGATGTTTATAAAAAATGTGATAAAAATCTGTAGATTGTGGGGAATAAAATGATTGACAGGTGTTATAACAGGTTATATAATATGATAGGAAAGCTATCCATATGAACTTTTGAAATGCAGGTGTGAAGAAGTTTGGGTCATAAAAAGATTAATCTGATTATGTAATCTTTTAACACTTAAAAAAATAACTTTTTTTTTCAATTTTCACTTACAATAATTTAACATACACTCATATAGACTAGTGAATTTTTGATACATTAACCTGTTCGAATTTTTTCTGTACCATTAATAGAACTCTATCTAACAGTTTTGGTTATTGGTGTTAGTTAGGCTGAGGGAATAAAAAAGGGGCATGGAGGAGTAGGAGTATATTATAAGCAAAACAAAAATGTCAACATTTTAAAATTGGGAGTTTTAAATATAGAACACATTGCTTTGAATATTTTGGATAAAAATATTAACGTAATTGTTATCTATAGACCACTCGTTTGTCGATTAGATTTATTTCTCCCAATGTTAGAAAGATTATTAGTTGAATTACAAGAATCTGGTTCAGACTATGTTATTATGGGGGATTTCAACCAAAATATCTTGGTTGTCTATACTAAATTGTTTTCAAAAATTTGCTTTTCAACAAATTGTTCAGCATTACACTACTGAAGGTGGGACACTTATAGATCATGTTTATATCAGTAAAGAAATTCCGTCACATAATGTTCACATTTCACACATACCTGTATATTATAGCTACCATGAAGCTATTAAAATAACCATACGATAAGTTATATTGATACAAGATTGAATTTACCCTTTCACAAAACATTTCATTTAGCTTGGCTCTTTACTAAAAGTGGTCAAGTCAACACCGGGCTTGAGAGGGTTTGAAGATCAAAAAAGTCTTACAGCTATCAGGAAAAGTATCACGGGCCACGCTCAGTGCTGTTCACAGCTCTAGTATATTTATGTTGTCAATTTCTTATTCATTATTTACATTCTGAATAACTTACCCCAAAGTAGTCTGGGGTTTTTCATTATTATGTATGTTTTGCTTATAGATTGTTACAGTCATTAATGTTATTTCATTTGTTCTAAAGCAGATTCTGCCAAGCTTCTTCCAGAACTTGGACAGTTAGTTTCAGTCGCTAACACTAACTCTTCGAGCTAAGTCACTCACGACTTATACTGACTTTCTTCTCTTTGAGAACTTTGCAAACGCAAGCGCTTCGAGCATTCAATCCAAAGAACTGCCAGTTGCGTGCAAGTCTGGTCTCTCTGTACCGATTTAGCCAAGTCAAGACCAGTTTCCTCATTTTACTGTTTATGTTCATTTTATGTATTCTGCATGTGTAGTCCCCGATCGCCAAATAAATATATTGACTTTATTTGTCGTGTTGTAAATTTATAGGCACAACAACAAACACAAGTCAGACACGGTACTTTAGGCTCACGTCTTTTAGGCACACCTTCAATTCAGCTCATATTCACTTAGGCACATACTTTTAAGGCACACTATTATTAGGCACAGTGTCAAAAAGGATAACCTTCGGCCCAAGAATTAAAAATGAGCATTTTATGCGATTTTGAATATGTAATAGTAATATCACCCAGTAACAAGTTCCAATTATGTATTTCAAAGGCTTTCATCCTCTATTGTGTTACCAGGATGACCTCTCTGTGCACGATAAAGATCCCTCGACAGTTGGAAATCGAAAAAAGAGCAGGTTAATGCCGCGGTCCTGACAAAATTTCCCTCATTGCACCCTGCATTGCGTTGCCCGTCTTCATTAGCCCACAAGGTGCAGAAAAGTAGGACTTAAAGTTCCATTCATTTCATTTCTTTTTTCTTTCATTTTGCCTGTTTCTTAAATTTTAACTGATTTTCGGGTCTTTGGTCACTGGTCAATTGAATGTGTGCCTATATAAATTTGTGCCCTAATGAACTTGTGCCTTAAAGACAGTGAGCCAAAAGTACCGTGCCTAACTGACTTAAAATATTTGTTCCCAATCGACTGCTTACCTATGAAACAGGGTGATAGGAGGGCTGGCTGAAAAGCACTAAGTCTAACTCAGAAAGACTCGTCCCAAGTCGAAGGTTTTCATTTATTTCTGTACATAGTGACTATCAGAAGGGCTGTAAGGTCTAGATGCAGACCAAGAACATATTTTCCAGACTAGCATAATGGTGACAGGCTTATTTCTTTTCCATTTTGGGAAACAGGCGGGGTTGATTTGGCCGTAAAATCATGGGCATAAATTGTATTGTCGCATGACACCGGGAAACTGAAATGTTTCTGGTCTGCCAGCAAGAGCTTTAAGAGACAAAAAAGGATCTAATAGAATAACATTGCTTGTTGGTTATAAAAGTTTGTTTCAATTCAATTGGTATATCCCAATATTAGCCTTAGAACTTTTCCGTATGTCACCGCGCTATCAGAACCTTCAAGGTGAACCGTTGGATCTGTGTTAAATTCTGTGACAGAATAGTGCTTTGTTGAATGTAAAACCAAAAGGCCAGAGATAAAAATAAATGAATTCGAGGCATGGTTAGTCAATTCTATCAAGGTCGCCTCTTGGTGGTAAACTCTGTATCATTAAAAATTTAAAAGTTTAATCAACAGACAAAGACACAAACCAAAGACCTATTTGTACATGTCTTAACTAGAACCTGAGTGAGTGAGTTAGGGAGTGAGTGAATGAGTGAGGAAGGGAGGGAATGAGTGAATGAGTGAGTGAGGAAGGGAGAGAGGGAAAGGGCGAGTGAATGAAGGAAGAAACGAACGAACGAACGAATATTAACTTTCATGTTTTACCACCGGTTTATCGAGTGGTTGTTAAAAAATCAGAAGTTTTTGAAACATTACAAATATTTTTCGAACTCTATTATTCATTTAATATATATAATGATATACATGTAATTTTATTGTGAATATCGGTTAACCAATTATTTACTTTTTAAAATCATATTTCAATAAAATCACCTGACCATGTGAGAATCTAGAAATAGTATGGTTAAAAAGGACACCACTAAATATCTGGATAGGATGGTCGTTTCCTTCTTTTAGTAACCCAATTGGTCTGTTATAAGTGAGGAGTAAGAGTTGTGGATCGCATGGTACTCTTAACTCTTAACCATAGTTTTGTCTTGCACCATATTCGTCTGTCAATTGGAGAAGTGAAGAATCAACAAATGGAGTTCTACTTTTCGAAATGTTCTGTGAAAGCTAAAGCAGGAAATACAGAGAGCTTAAAAGAATGCATTTAATGTTAAACAGTTTATACGTGAATAGGGCTACAGACCATTACATTTCCATCACAAAAGACAAATGTAATAAAAATACAATAAATTAACAAGTAAGTCTTGTGTGTATAATGTAGGTGGGGAAAAGATCAGATTCAGATTGATTTTACCATTAGAAAGTCGCCAGCCTGGTATTTGTAACGGAAAGTAAATAAAGACTTAATCGTAGGTAAGATAATTAGCGATTTTCTACTATAGCTGATATGGTTTTTGGTTTAACAGATAATTTAAAGGGATGTAGTACTTGAATCATTGAGTAGATTGAATTGAAATGGGTTTGGTTATACAGTTCCGACAAAGGAATATAAAATAATTGATAAGCTACATATTGAATTGGAAGGGAGACAACCTTCTTTTGTGTTAAATAACTTTAAGAGATATTACGCTGTAATCATGAGGTTGAATAACAGATAGAATTTAAAGGGACACAGTCCCGTAACTAGTCCAAGGTCTCAGGGGGTCGGGATGACTATCAAAACTACCAAAATATTTTTTTTAATTTGAAAAAGTATAGGGTGTACGAAATTTGTATCTGAAAGTAAGATCTGCTACTAATGTTTCGCCATTTGTTGCTACCGATTTAAATAATTTAAGGGTAATATCCCTTGAAGCAAGAGCAAGCTGTCACGTGGGTGGTAATTATATAGGTCAGTAGAAGCAATAGATATTATGTCGACTAGAATAGTTAGTTACGTGGTTGAAAGTTCGATACATTTGAATAAAGAATCGAAACTGAAATCAGATCACTTATTTGATGATATAAAATTAAGCGGTGTTTTTTACAATGTCGGAAGTCTTCATATAAAATGTTTAAACGATCTGCTCTAAGATATGATTTGTATATATTTCTGACCATGTGTGTAGCGGGATATATTTTAGGATGTACGTACCGTTTATATTCTCAAAATTACATTTGTTTTGATGTCAGAGAAGAAGAGAATGAGATTGTAAACAATCTGCTGATGGTTGCCGTGAAATCAACGCGAAGGTACTTGATTCGGTATGGAGACACTATCATGAAGACGTGGGGCAGTGACATTCCAGGGCATGTTCTTTTCTTTTTGAATAACAAGCCATATAAAGGAGATCTACCCGTGATCACTTTATCTGATGTACACAACGGTTCAACGTCAGTGGAAAAGACCTTCTCCATTTTAAAAACTTTATCAGCGGCATACTCGAAGCAGGTGAGGTTCTTCTAGTACAGTTATTTGCTTGATTACGTCTAGCGAATGGTGGCTGTGGGTTCCGATCAAGATCGGCGTGCGAAAGTCCGATGACTTTATATGGGTCATCTTCACTCATATTTCCAGTCGACCCAGCTGTAAATAGGTAAGGATAATATGGAAAGATCAATGCAAAGAGGTTTGGCCAAGGACCAGATGGTAGAAAGGATTCTTAACTGTGAACCTTAGTTGTTATTCTTGTAAAATATAGTTGTTTTTTTCTTCCTTTCAGTATGAATGGTTTCTGATAATTGAAGACCAGACCTTCGTACATCCAGAACGTCTGGAATCGTTTCTCAGAAAAGTTAACAGCAGAAAGAACTGGTACATGGGTAGACTGATGAAAAGTGAATGGTATTGTGAAAGTGAAACTGGTATACTGTTGTCTCGGCATGCTGTTAATATGATAGTACCTCATTTAGACCAATGTGTTCAAAAAACAGAAAGTACTGAAGACGATGTAGTGCTAGGTTCCTGTATCAAACAATATCTAGATATATCGTGTACAGGTTCAGTTGAGGTGGGTATAGAGTGGATTGTAATCAGACCCGTAGCTACAGTGCACATAGCACATATTGCAAGCTGAAAATAGGTCAGTTGTGAAACTATTTAGTTTCAAGTTCCGTTTTGATATTTTTATATGTTCTATTAATAAAAGAAGTACGAAGACACCTTTTAAGCGTGACTAAAGTATTTTCGTTGTCGTCGAGATGACTTCATCAGGTAAAATGATTTGGAAAATATTAACGAGGTAATTGCAGACGTTGAAACAACTAAAATATTGGGATGGGCGTGGCACATCCGGGTTGCAAAGTATGCTTTTGTTATGAAAATAAATCCACTCCTTTGGACAATTTGTAATGAAGGAATATTTGTTTGGGCGTTTTACTTTTAAAAAAGGAATTGCTTTTATAATTTTCAAATCTTTATTTTTGACATTAAACATAAATGAACATGACTTTTGCGAGGTCAAGGTCATTGATCTAGGATGCCGATTCAAACCTTGATGTCCAGCAGCAATTTTCGAAACTTTTGTTGACCTTTTGATCGGAACACAAAAGGTACTGTATTTGACCAGATCTGTTCAGTAATATTTTCATTTGTGTTGTTTGATGTTTATTTCCACTTTTACAGCGACTTGAAATTCGACTTTTTACCACCGAATGTTAACACCTTTTACTAACGAAATCAAATTTATGCTTATAGCAATAATTACAATGAAGTTTCTATTTCATTAATAATTCAAGGATTTAATTTCTGGTTCACAAATGGTTCTCAATCTCATAAAATTATTTCTTTAACATTTCCCTCGGGTGAATCTATGCCATTATGAAATTAAATTGGTGTCTAGTTGAAAGCTAGAAGTTTCAAAAGGTTCGAAATCAATGGGATAAGGTCTCGTTGCCACACTCGGAGCTGTTCACAGTTCTAGTATTTTTATGTAAAACACAGCCCCTCTGTAATTAAGACTGTGCCTTATAAATATTTTAATGATAATAAATGATAACATTCAAATACAGATCTCGAAAAATAATATTGGTCCTCACCCCAGAAGAAAATACATGAGCATGATATGTTAAGAAAAAATGTTCCGGGGACTCAACTTGTTGAACCACTACTCGTTGGTTAGTGATGTGTTTGTACAAAAATCGAAGGTTATCTGTCAAATCAATTTTCTCTTTTCATATCCGATATAAGCCTGATAAGTTCAAATATAGGACATAAAACACCATCATCTAGAACATTGTTTCCAAACTTATTGTCATATTTATTACTTTTTTCAGTTTGGTGAAATGTTTGTGAATAATCGAGGAGGTTTATTCTATTCTGATAAAATAAACAGCGATTTGGCCTTTCTGATCCACCCTATCTTAAGACCCACCAGTATGTATCAATGGGCGAGATATTTCCAAAACCGAAACGCTGTTAGACAGAGAATCAAATTAATGGATCTCCAACAAGAAATTCTTTTAATGAACTTTGACGAGGAGAACATCAAAGATGAGGGTAGTGATGAAACCAACCCCGATTCAGAACCGGAAGTAGATGAATATGGCGACACAATGGAAATCGGAGACGAAAACGAAGTGTTTAATGACACTGAGAGGGATAAAATGGACAACGATTTTAACTCAAGAGTGGGCGAGGATGACTATCCTTACAACTTTTGGACTCTAATTCAGAATAACAGCAATTTGCATGCCCGAAATACCCACAAAGCAGCCAGAAAGGCAGTTCATTCTCTGGTTTCAAACAAAAACTGGATACTCTCGCCTACAAAATATATTCGTTTTTCCAGTGGTAGAACTGTTGAAAATATCATCATTGCAAAAAACGACATGGAACGAACTGTCGCGAGTTTCCACACGTATCAAAAGTATACAGAACCGGAAGTTAAGTTCGATGACGTAGACGATACGGACACAATTTGGGTGATATTGCCGTTATTCAAAAAGGTTAGAGCATTTCGAATATTTCTTGATATGTTCGCAGATGCCGTAGCTAAGTATAACGGCCAGGTTCATCTCCGTGTGGTTCTGAATGTTGACGTAGACGGAGAGTGGAAGATTAATCGAGCGTACGCAAGACAAATGCAGGACAGGATCAATCTAGAACTCATCATAGCCACAGCAAAGTTCGATCGTGGCACGGCTAAAGCATTGGGTACTCGAGACCTTCCTAATAGTTCCTTACTGGTCTTTATAGATGTAGATATATATATGGATAAAAGTTTCTTGACTAGGGTCAGGTGGAACACCATTTACAACCGTCAAGTCTATTTCCCCATTTGTTTTAGTCAGTATCATCCGAAAATTATTTGTTTTCAACAAGAAAAATGTCAGATTAACGTGAAAAACTTGGAGAATCGTTACGGGTTTTGGAGAGATTTTGGATACGGAATGGTCTCTATGTATAAAGTGGATTATCAAAGAGTTGGAGGGTTTGATTTAACAATTAAAGGTTGGGGTTACGAAGATGTAGATTTAAATAGTAGAAGTGTATTTCATGGATTAACAGTGTTTCGGGCAGTAGACCCATCGCTAGTGCACATTTACCATAAAAAACAGTGCGCGAAATCTTTACCAACCGTCCGTCGTTATTCTTGTTTAATGTCTGATAAAATGCAATTGGGGTACGTGGGGGAACTTTCTAAAATAGTAGAATCTATTCAAAATACAAAAACTAAATAGCTTTAATGATTTTTGATTTGGTAAACACAAGGCATCAAAAAACAGCAGACATCACCAAACACTTGCTCAAATTCTAGAGGGCTATTGTGCTATTGTCTGTTAATAGAAACACCAGACATCACCTTAACTCTGAGTTAAATTCTAGAGAATGGTCCACTGTTGTACTTTTGTCTATTTAGAAACACCAGATATCACCTTAACTCTGAGTTAAATTCTAGAGAATGGTTCACTGTTGTACTATTGTCTATTCAGAAACACCAGACATCACCTTAACTCTGAGTTATATCCTAGAGAGTAGTCCACTGTTGTACTATTGTCTGTTTATAGAAACATCAGACATCACCTAATTTTAGGTTATATTTTAGAGGGTGTTGTACTATTGTCGGTTTATAGATACATCTGACATCATCTAACTCTAGGTTATATTTTAGAGGGTGTTGTACTATTGTCGGTTTATAGATACATCAGAGATCACCTAACTCTGGGATATATTCTAGAGGGTGTTGTACTATTGTCTGTTTATAGACACATCAGACATCACCTAACTCTGGGATATATTCTCTGGGATAACCTAATTTGGGTTCCATTCTAGAGGAATTTCGTTAGATATTCTGTGAAACAGGAGCAAACCTTATTGATGAAAAAATATGTGGTGAATTCATCATATCCAAGTGTTTTGGGGGATATTCTTATAAATTAAATGATGTATGCTGAAAAAATTGCTAGCAGTAAAAGGGAGACAATCGAATTATATGTTTTCTTTAGTATTGATCAGACCACAACTAACTTCCTTTGGTTGCTCTCAACATGAGGACACAAAACAGTAAAACGGTTTTCGAAACTCTGCCTTTTGCTTAGACCTGTACTCAATTAAGCAAAGCATTAAAAGGGACAAGTGTGCCATTTTTTGACCAATCATACTATATTTTTTTAGCTGAGCCAATCATTAATAGTGTTCACAGCTAATTGTCGAAATCCTTCAAATCTATGTGTGTACAGAACTATTTGCGTTTGAATATTTAAATGACGATACTATAGAGAAGACATATATATATTGAAATATCCAGTGAAGTTTACAATTTGAGATATTTTATGCAATTTTCGTACATTTATAGTATTTCTGAAGATTATTTACATATATTCATGACTAATATCCCCCCCCCCCCCCAAAAAAAAACGTTTTGTAAAGAAAGTCTATCTTTGATGAAAACAGCCAAAATGAACTCTGGCCTTCCGTCGCTTTTAGGAAAACTGTCTTAAGGGGAATATATATATATATGTCTCAAGTTCAATGACATATTTGTATGAAAGAATAAAAAAAACACAACGAAATCTTTTGATTACTGGACGCTAGTGCAGTGTATATGATAATAATCTGAATGGTTGGTATAAAAACAGTAAGAAATCGTCATTATACTTAATTGACCTGGAGTTATTTTAAACAGCAAACTTTTAACATGAACTTTATTGATTATTGATCTCAATATTGTTCCAGCAGTGGACGACCATTGTTTATGTCTCGATTTGTCAATATTAGACCAGTGTCCAGTCTGCAGACGAGAGTTGTCCAAGTTGATAAATCGTTTAAAGTATATTGTTCTATCAAACTGCATGTTTAGATCAGTTATTGACTTAATAAAGTTCGATACACACTGGCAAACTTTTATTGGAATAAGACAATTTTTCCTGTACCTGAATTTATCATCGAGTTCAAATGGTACTAGAGAAGCTTGTGGTCTAGACAGTCATTCAGATGGGACAATAAACTGAACCCCGTATGCTACAGACTGTTACATGTTAAAGATCCCTCGACAGTTGGAAATGGAAAAAGAGTAGGCTAATGTCACTGTCGTGGTAAAATTATACACAGCGTCGACTGTCTTCATTAGTCTAATTAGGTACAGAAGAGCAGGAAGTAAAACTCATTTGAAAATAAAGTATTATACTATAAGTAATCGAGTAATTTTCTTTTTCATGGTTTTGGTCGACGTCATGAAACCCAATCATTGTCTTCGTTGACCGATATCGTACGATATGGTACGCTATGACGGGTACCAAGAAAACCTTTATAATAGTTGTTTGACGACGAGTCCAGAAAGTTCGACACCATGGCCCTGTTTCTCAATGTAACCAAGACCGCGTCTCGCTTAATTTCGTCGTAAGTGATTTTTCCTAGTATAAAATTCCACGTTAACGACAAATTCTTAACGTAATATTTTTTGCGGTACTGGCCGAGGGCTGAAAGTGTTTTTATCTTCAACGACCATTTAGACGAGTATTACTGGGTGTTAACGGATGATTATTTTTTAAATTACAGTTTAATTTTCTTCAATATCCTCAGGGTGACACGTGCCATTTCGACTTCCGCATTTTATATTATTAAATATTTTATAGATAATATCGGATGTTGAAGATTTAAAGGAGAACATCCTAAAATTCTTTTCAAAAATGTGTAAAATGTATATAGTGGCTATATTTTGATAGCAAATGGACAAGGCGAATATTTGATATTACTTGCTTCGTATGTATAATTTGTGTCAAAACGTAAATAAACCCTGAGGTCGACCTTGCAATGGAGGTGGTTGGGGAGGGGGGGGGGGGGGAATCTGTCAGCCAACTGAATTTTCAACGATCGTTGTTAGCAAATGCCGGCATCTTCGAAAATTTTATCAATCATTAGATTCGGTAGAGACTTCAACTAACAGTTTGTCGGATGTATGGGAAGCTCAGATTGATCAGTCGATTTGACCCATGGTTCTGTATTTAGAGAGCAATATGTTGATACAAACCTTGTGTTTTTGTGTTTCTGTCTTAAAAGTTAGAAATACGAAAATATGCCTGGGTTTTGCACCTGTAGCACACTACTAGATAGTGTTCACATCATTAAGAATGATATGTTCCTAAAGAGATGGTAGATTGTTTATATTCTATGCTAGCAGTGCGTAAGGAGTAATTCGATACAAGTTTGATATTGAGTTAAAATAAAAGGAAAAGGGGGAGAGAATGAAACTTTAAGTAAATTATTTCAGATTGTTGTATTCTATTATCATGTCAGATACTTCCTCTATCAATTTCTATTGATGACATTTTACAATATACTATTACGCCTTAGAAATTATATTAAAATTGCTATGAATAGTGCCTGACACTTCGGCGTAAATCTTTTAGCATAGAATGAACATATAATTAAATTCTTAAACTACAACAGAATTCCCGTAAAATCTGATAAATTCATAAATTAAGTTATTTTAAAAAGTTAAACATTATGTTCGTTCTAAGAAGTATCAATCTACTGGTCAGTGTGCTACAGGTTGTGTATGTTAAAGAAATTGTAAAGATCAATTTTACACCATTCCAATTTTCAATCACACGTCTGTGGTTCTAGCAATTCCACTAAAACTAAGTGTTTTATGACGTCACCCCCGCAAAGGTTTAATGTGATACTAGCAAATGTTTCGGGGGTGACGTCACAAAACACTTACTTTTAGTCGAATTGCTGGAACCACAGACGTCTGATTGAAAATTTGAATGGTGCAAATTTTATGCTGTCAGTGTCCTACATGCATAAATAAATTAAGAAACCTTTACACAATCCCTTCAAAGATCCCTCTACAGTTACTTTTCCCATTGCACAACGTATTCCGTTGGTGGTCTTCAAAAGCAAAATTAGATACAGAAAAGTACGTCGTTTTCATTTGAACAATATTCAAAAAGATACACAGCAAGCTTTTTAAAACCTTAATTCTTGATTTTCTAGTTTTCCGAAAAAGAAAAAGACATAAAAGTGCTTCTGACACCTTCTTTAAGATTACAAATTACCTTTCGACCTTCATTCCAATTGAAACCCGACCGTGGTATTGAATTTCCCATGGTGGAATTGAAATGAAATGTCAGGAACCATAATTTCTATTCCATTGTCAGGAATCAATGAAAGAGAAAACGACAGGAATGGTTCCAGGTTTTTTAATGAGTTAGTACGCGGTGAGCTTTTACTTGAAATCTAAATTTACACACAGAGTTTTAGAGACGGAAATAGCCACCTATAACTAGTGTAAAGGTTGATATTTTACTCTGAGGTCATATGGTTAAAGGACCATCACACCCGTAGGATTTGACTAAAATGTTCAACAAAGTATAATGTATCCATGTATAAATAAACCAAGTAACGATCCGAACCGCAAAACGAAACCCGAAATCCAAAACAACATTTTGACGAAATATTGGTAGCAGATAATGAACTTTTCACATTAGGAAGCAGTGGTGGAGCCAAAGAGGGGTAGAGGGGGTAGTCCCGAAAGCAAGTTTTTCGGGCAAAAATCTCACAACTAGTTTAAAGATTCGGGCAATCTCAGATATCTCTCCCCCCTCGCCCCCTCTCAGACGTAAACCTGACTCTGCCTCTGTTAGGAAGTATATTAGGTGTCTAGAAGAGTAAGCATACCCTGCCTGGCATGTAACGCAATAATTAAGTATTATGTTGTAGATTTATTTTACAGTGATGATGTTTCTGACAACAGGCATACTGTTGAAATTCGCGACGGAATTAGTCCTGCTCCCTCTGATCTCGGGCTGGTATTCATTTGACAAGCTGACCGACAACTATCTTATGTATAAGGAGCTCAGTAGAAGTTCGCAGGATTGGTATCAATCGAAAGAAAGGAAACTGAAGCTGAGATCTAAGCAACACGAGAACCTTCAACCATTATGAGACGGAATGCAAAAGCATGTACGTTAGCCTTAATAGCAACAGTATTTACATATTTATGGACAGATTACGTGCACGTGCATCAAGTTTTGAGTTAAAGCCTTATTAGTCGTTTAGTACGTTAAGGTTTGTACAAATTTTATAATTCGTATTCTATGTAACAGGAAGGTGGTCGGAATAAAGAATATGAAAGGATTAACGAGAGGACTTCTTTATGTGGCAAAAGTATAAACG